TTTTTTGTTAGGCTTTTGTGTTTTTAATAGTTTTAAGGCAAGGTTGCACAATGCCTACTCCATGTGGTGTTACAGTAGGTGGTGGTTTTGCCCATATAGTTTTGGCTCTGTTTCAAACTTACCAACAATTTTTAAGGTAACCTCCTCTAGTGGTTAGTATATCTTTGGCTTATATATCCTACCAGCAGAAAACTTCTAAAGGTATGAAATTGTGTGTATGTGTGTGCGTGTTATGAGCCAGGTTGAAAGATTACCTTCATTCATTTGGTCTAACCTCCTTTTTAGATGCATGATGTTGAAAAAAATACGTTCAGATAAAGCTTTTCATGTTCATCCTCTGCCAGAATAAAGGGCTTTTTCAGGGTTAATTTTACATCATGAGAAATAACTAACGTCTGTGCTCAAAGATAATTCATCTGCCTGTGTTTTTTCTCTGTCTTACTTACTAAAATACTGTTGAATATGTAAATTAAAATTTACATATAGATGTTCATAGATGAGTAAACAACTTCTATGGAGTTTGAAATCCTGAGTTGAAGAGATTACTTAATCATTAATATTTAATATAAATTATATTTTGATGTCTTTTTATTTCAGACACCTCCACATGCAGACACGCTAGTGGGAGGAGTTGGTGACTTAAACGTAAATTTTTTTTCTGAAACAGCAGCAGAACAGGCAATGTAATGCCGTTTTCAAAGTATCAGACAACATTCCTAGAAATCTGTGTTATTGGCTTGCTGGTACTGCACAAACACTGCCTGATAAAGTGTGCAAAGTGAAAAAAAGTGTGAGGTATTTGCATGCCCCCTCAATTTTTAAAATAAAGATACTATCCTGGAATTTGGGAACACCTACATTTTGAATCCTATGTGTAGAAGAGATAATATAAAACTAGATCGGTGATGTCAGCTTGATAGGGAAATAGTTCACTAGCTCAGAAATCAAGTTTGTGTCTTACTTGGAGTGCTGCCATCTTCCCATTGCAGAAAACATTAATAGGAGTTGTAATATAAAGAAACAAGGAAATAAACTTCTATTGTTTTGTATTATTTTTAGTTAGGTAGATTCTTTTTTATATATAAACACATTTATCACCTTAATGGATATGATGCTCTTTCAACGTAGAATTACCGCTTCTGACACAAACTGATTGTTAACGGAGAAATTCTGTGCCTCTTGGAAAAGAGCTTCCCTCTCACTCACCTTTGTTATCCCAGTGCACATGGAGTCTTTTTGCAAAATTTAAATATTTGTATATTTTTACTTTAAATGCTTTTAGGTAAAGTTCTCCATTTACAAATTAACTCACATCCACTGGGGGAAAATGTTTGGAAAAGTTTTTCTTCCTTTCCTCTCCGTAAAGTACATGCTGCAGAGTTTACTTGTGTTTAGGAAGCTTTTGATGAAATCGCTTCGTAATAATTTCATTTAAGTGGAGATCCCAAACCTCTCTATCCTTGATTTAATGACTAGAATCATCTCACGCACAGCTCCTTCAACAAATCATGTAAACCTTTAACCTTCTTAAATATTTGGAGATGAATAATAATTGTAATAAAATCTGTTTGCATTTTCTTGCCCCCCCCCAATATGGTAAGACCAAGAGGTAGTAGAGTTGTCCAATTTTTATAATGCTTTTTTTATACCACCTCAGAAGGCATTTGCTCCTATCTCGGGTTTACTATTTAGTATAAAGAGTTCCGATTTGGGTATATTTAAGAAAGACTCAGCTGTCAAAAGCAAAGAAACTGGGAATGGTGTTTTGACAACCATATAGTGTTAAAGGAAATACTGTAGTCTGAATAAAATTGCTTATGTTCTCCAAAACAAGAGTAACATAAAAACACTTTTTATTTATATGGAAAAGCAAAAGCAGAAATAAATTCCAAAGGTTTCCCTTTCTTTAAGAAATTCTGAGAGAACTGCAGTCGCCATCTGTTAAGGGTTGGGAATCGAGCAAGAAGCCACATTTAAACGGCAGAAGAAAAGACCAGGAAAGTCTGTGTCTTCCATCCACCCCTTCTCCCTCCCACCGCCCAGGTCAGCACTTCCCAGGTCCGCGCCCCGCAACCTCCGCAGCTCGCCCCAGTTAAGACTGGCCCAGAAGAGCCCGTCAGGACCCCCGTGGCCTCCTCCCCCTCCCGCCCCCGAGGGCCTGTTAACCCCGAGCGGGTTTGGGAGGGGAAATGTGGCTAATATCTCCAGCAGCTGTCAGAGGAGGGCCCTTCCTTCAGAGGGGCTGGCCTGAGAGCCCCACAAGTTCCCCCTTAGTCTTGCAGGCCAGCAATTTGATAAGGAGCCGGGGCCTCTGCTGCAACTTGCCACCGTGTTGAAGGGGCTGGGGTCTGGATGTGCCCAGGGGCCTGGCTTCGCAGGGGGGGCGGGGGGCGGGGGCGGGCGCGCCCCAGGCTCCCCCCACTCGCGTCCGCTGCCCCTGCCTCACCCGGCCTCCCCTTTGCAGGGTGTTAGGGGTGGACCACCGGGCTTCAAGCTGCCGGGGTGGTGGGTGGTGGGAGGGGCCCCTAACAGTCGCGGTGATCAGCTCGGGGGTCGCCCGGTCGGTCGTCGAGTCCCCTCCGTGGGCCGGGCCGGGAGGAGGCCGCCGAGCGCCGGGAGGGGGGACGCAGGTCTGATGGGGGAGGCCGGTCAGGCGGTGATGAGAACGGAGACCGTCGGGGCAGTGTTTGAAGGGAGGTTTTAATATTAATAGTTTCGGTGTAGAGACAGAAGGGAGATTGCGTCTACGGCTCCTCGGGGCAGACTCTGGGTGACAGCGATGATGGATGATCCAGCGAGCCCCACAGCTCCTCCCCTCCAGCCCCAACAGTGTCAAAGCTACTTCAGTTGAAGCTTTAGAAATAAAATAAATAAACAGCATCGCCCCCCCCCCCGCCTCTTCATACACCTCCATCCCACCCCACCCCATCCGGGCATCGATTTATAGATCATTATGAATCAATTACTGCTCTCAATACTTTCCCATTGGCTTAAATAAAACAGTCAAAAGATGAAAACGTGGGGGTTCGGTGAGGATTTTTTTCCCCCCTGATAGGAACAATCGCAAAATCCTTTATCTCATAATCAGAGGCACCGAGTTAGGAGGTGTAGGGAAAGGAAGGGGTCGCCCGGTACATAAGTGGCGGCGGGGGGGGGGGATGCTAAGGAGGGGGTGTCACCCAGCTGCTGCCTTTGTTCAGAGGGGTTTGGTTTGGTGTTTGGGTTGTTCTGTTGGTATTTCTTGAGAGGGGGACCCCCGCGTGAGAATGAGATGCCTACAGGTTTTGTGACCTAATTATTTAACTCCTCTGCAGAAACCTTAGTGGGTGTGCGTCCCGGCAAACATCAGATGGTGTTGTTGGTGAGGTCGCACATGGGAAAAGGTGTGGAGGAATGGGTCCGTCTGGAGGGCGGCTTTTCACTTTGTTGTGAGCCACCGTGGGAGGCTCTGCCGCTGGGAAGGGGGGTCTCCCACCCGCAACGCCCTCCTCGCTCTGCCCGCGCGATGCGCTGGTTTTTTTGTGTGGCTGGAACCGGTTTGGAGCTGGGACTGGCCGCCCCCAGTCGCCCCCACCCCCACCTCGGCCCCCGAGGCTTTTCTTCCCTCCCCTGCCCCTCGGCGGCGGCGCTCGGGGTTCTCTAGGTGTTTCTATGACTACATTGTGTGTGTGGGAGGGTCAGATGTGGGGGTTGCCCGCGAGAGGGCCGTTCCTGGGCGATCATTTATCAATGTCACCCACATAATGATTCTCTCTGCAGCCTCCTATTGATGAGGATAATTACATTAGCTCAGAGTGACTGATCAATGAAAAACCACCACACAAAAACTTCTTTACTCCTCTATAATACCAAAAACCGATACAGAAATAACATAGAAAGCCTGATTTTCTTTCCCTTTACTATCCACCAATAGATGCTGCCCCTCCTCTCCCCCCCTCCAAAAGGACTGAGAGTAAAGTAAGAAAATAGACCCAGGTTTGTTTCGTTTAAAGGAGGATGCGATTTTTTTGCCCGTGAATGCATTTTCTCAAAACGCTTTGGCTTCATTCCCCCTTTGGTAGAGAATATCAACGGATTTGCTAATGTGAGTTGCTTTTAGACTGGCCTGTGGTTTTCCGTTCTTTTTATTTCTTTCCTCCCCTTTAGACATTTTTTTTTCTACTTCAAAAAAAAAAAGAATTATAAATAACTGGAAAAGGAAATTACCCTAGGTCCTCTCTCTCTTCTTCTTCTTCTTCCCCCGCCCTTTTTTTTGTTGTTGTTTAGCCTTTATTTAAGTCTGGTTATCTTTTGTCTTTATCACTTCATAAAGTAGCGCAATTAAAGATGTGATGTTGCCTGGGTACAAAGGCTGGATCTATAATACGGCGACATAATCCGCCGTATTCTCGCCTGAAAGTTTGCAGCTAAATTACGATTTCGCCTTTTCTAGACTTCAAAAAATCAATATTTTCTCAATTAAAGAGAATTTTAATGCTTTACTTGCGAGTTGTTAAAGGCGTTATAAATTTTATTGTGACGCTTCTTGGCTTCGGAGTAGATGCAGGAGACCGGTTGATTCTCGTGGTCTTTTTCCTCTCAGAGAACCTAGTCCAGAAACGTCCAGGGTGTCAGATCAAATCCAAGCAACAAAGGTAAGGAGTGTGCCGCGCAGCGAAGGGTGGGGAGCCCCCCGGGGAGCCCTCCAGCGCCAGAGCCCATTGTCTGGGATATTTTCACCTCTCTGTCCCGCCTCCCGAAAGTGACAGAAGTGTCCATTTTACTCTGATCTTTCCCAAAGAGGAGCCCGTAGGACTCCCATCTGCTCTGTGATGGCCAGAAAGGCAGCAGCATCTGGGGGAGCATTCTAGACCCTTTCCAGCACCCCCCCCTTTTCTCTTCCCTCTCCTTATTTTGCCAAAATTCAACTCTGAACTCTTGCACAAATTCTGCCATATTTTATATGTTCTGACCTCTGTGTCAGAGCTCATTCCCCACCCTCAAGAGCGCTCACTGTTTAC